ACAACCCCCTCCAACGAAAAAAACCATTAGTTGTAATTGCAGTACACTAGTGTGCTTTTGATAGTTTTTTTATAAAGCAAGTTTTTTTAATATTATTTTTTATAATAGTTTCATATAAAAAAACATTATACTGTGTTTTTATAATACAGTCTAATGATTTTTTAAAAATTTGAAAAAACATTAGACTAGCGCCCTGTTACGCCAGATTTAAAACTGGTTTGTCTCGATAATTTTTGAGCCGGTTTTTTGTCACGTATGAATTAAGAAAATTTCAATAAAAGCGCTTTTTATCAATACTATTTTGGCCAAACTGACAGCTTTCAGGCCGCCTCTACTGTAACTAAAACAAATCACCGCTGAAGTTTTGCTTGAAATTTGAGCTCAGCGGGTGATACTGTTCAGGAGCTTGGAAATTTATAAATACTGCTGATGTGACAAAAATCCATAGGATAAAGGGACAATTATCTTAAGCTTTTCAAAGAAAAGTTAAAATTGCAAGTTGTTATCGTTTAGCTAACTTCGTAGATTTTGATCCGTCTAGAAAAGTTATCAAACAGTTTTTGTCTAGACAACCAGCTGAACAAAATTTTTCGTACCAGGGTAACAACTCTGAATGTACCGGCTGCTTTTAAGGTCTATGGAGCAGTAGCAAGACGAAAAAATTAAAGTGTAAGTAATAAAAAAAATTTAATTCGACCTTTTTAAAAAAATAATCCCCCCAAATTCCATAAAGAAAACAATTTGATAGAATTCACTTTTGCTAACAAATAGATTTTAGCAATTCAGCTTCCTTCAACCATTTTAGAAAGATTTCTAAGACGGATTAAGATTCCGCTGACGCATTTTTACCGCGAAATATATTGCGCGTTAATTGTCCCAAATTGGCCAAAATGCCAATCTTTAAATCCCCATATTATTGTAAAAAAAACAATCACAGGTGAAATAAGTTTTCGAATCTAAGTTCACGACAAATATACTTTTTGAATAATAAAAAAAATTTGTCAAAAATGACTGGTTAAAAAGCTGAAGTTTGTCGGAAAAAAAAACGCCCCGAGCGCAATTATTCCGTTACTTCCAAAACGAAAGTCGAATTAATTATATTAATTAAAGTAGTCTCTTTTCCAAACCATTAATATTTTGTGTTCATACTGAGAGAAACTGTTCATCCAGAGTTATCAACACTGATAAACCTTATCAATAAATATAAATGTTTTTTTTTAAGAATGGTCAAGTTTACACTAGTTGATTATTTTCAGTCAGTGATCTTTGAAGCACTGAAATAGCCTAAATACCGTAAAGAACCTTCAAAAACATATTTTTAAAAAAATTAAAAATCTGAAAAAGCAAGGGCAGTTAGAATAAAAAATTATTTTGCGAAAAAGGAAAAAAACATAAGCAACAAAAAAATAAAATTGAGTAATTTTAGGTTCATTCAAATCCAAGTATCTATCTCAAAATTAAGACCTGTTGGCACCCGAAGCACCTTTAGAAAAGTTAGATATTTATAACTATCACCCACCCCCTAGAATCCCTAGTAACAAATTGCCACCCGTCAAAAAGATTCCTAGTTTGAAAGTCGAGATGTCTGGAGAAAAAAAAACGTATCAGGGCGAAGCCTTAATCGACTAGTACTTTTAATCGATAGTATTGTTGTCAAAATTGATAATTTATTTGGAAAAAAAATATCAACTTTTTCATTTTTTTTTTTAAATAATCATGCTTTGTTAAATACAAAGATATATATTTTGAGTATTGATAAGAGCAAATAGCTTGCATCAATGCATTTTGGAACACTTTTAATTGCCGCTGACGCTTTAAGAGCTCAAAAATGCAATTTAATTATCCTAAACTGGTCAAATTGGCTAATCTCAAAACCTAACAATATATCGAAAAATATCTTAGCTTTCTTTTATTTCAGCTTAAATCAACAATGTTTTTCGAAAAAATTCAGTCAAAATTTGCTTCTTAAAAATTCGAAGTTGTTCTAGGAAAAAGCACTCTGAATACAAATATTCTGTCTCTTACTTGAGTACAACTACTTCATCATTTTATAAAGAAATTTGGAATAAGAGCGTTTATTCAACGGAGAAAACTGCTGGAAATCTAGTAAGTGTATTGAATTGAAACTCAGAATTGGGTAAAAGAAAAATGATATACAATATGATAAAAAAGATCAAACAATCAGAAAATTTATGAGATAGTTTATTTTGTTTTACAGTGATTCAAAAAGTGCTCCGAAAACTACGAAATCATCAAAAAACGTGAACAAAAAATTGAAACGTTTAAAAACAAAATGTATATTAACTAATCAAAAATTCATTTATAATGAAATGCGAAGAGCAAGAAAAACAATTTATTGATCATATTTGACTCGTAAATTACATGCGAAGTAAAGAGACACAAGAAAAATGTTTACAAAAAAGTTGAAAAAGTTGAATTTATTTATTTTGAAACCTGACTGCCCTACTTACAATGCAATGCAGTAAATCCTAATGTCAGGCAGAAATACAATAATCAAAGAAGACTATCATAGTAATACTTATAATAGCCAATCAGTGGCGTGAGCACAAAATTTTTTAGGGGAGGGGGTTTTTCGAAAATTTTTGAAAATTTTATCGACCTTTTTTTTAGGTTGACCAATCATATTTTTCGAGCTCTCCTAAAATAGTACAAGGACCGTATTTTTTGAAAAATTTTCTGCGCCGCTTTAAGGCACTTTTTGCTTTTGTCTAAAGACTGTAAAACCTGCCGAAAGCATTCAGTTGAATTCAGTTACTAAACTAATCTCCTCCTTGGCAACTAAATTTTTTTAATGCACATAATAAATTGATAAACCTGAAAGCTTCGGTGCTTTTGATTATCTTGTTTTTGCTGCTGGTATCTTACTCTTCCTTTCCTATCGTTTTTCTTGTTGCAATTTTTTGATCTGTTAGCTAGTTCAATTTCTGAGACGTACTTATATTTGTTTTTGCATTAAAAATATAAACGTTTTGATATTTTCGCAACCTTTGCCGGTGTTTTTTTTTTCTATTATTTTGAATTAAAGCCTAGATGTTGAGTTTATTTGTGGCAAAATATAGCCAGATTCACCTTATAAGCGACTATTATTTTTTCGACTCACCGCAATGTGCTCTAGCGCCCGGTAAAATTTTCAATTTTTAGGTCAGTTATTGCACGGTTTGACTCAAAAAGAACTGAAAAGAAAAAAAATTGAAAAAAATTGATAATATGAAGGCAAAAACTGAATATTCTGACCAAGTTTTCTTGTGTGTGAAGTAGCTTTGCTGAAGAAAAAAATTCTTGCTTAATTTAAAATATTTTTAGACGTTTTTCTCACACGCATTGTTGACGGAAATTATAAAAAAGACAATTTTCCGCTTATCAACGAAATTTGGATTTAATTTGATTGCATCAGCTCAATACGAATTCGTTTCCGAACCAAATTAATCCGCCACTTAGGCTGCGCGTTAGTTGATTTAAAAAAAATGTTGTGTTCGCTAACGTAGATAACTGTGAGATTGTTCACTGTGAGATCGTGTATTTGATCCCTTGTCATGTCTGTGAGGATGAGCTCTCAGATAACATCTAGCCTTGTGTCTACCACAGCCTGACCGATTTCGGCTACAATAGTGATTCCACGTGCAATTTCTAACCGCAAAAAAAATCAATAATCACCAAAAAAACTCAATTCTGGAAATCACAATAATTACGATTACAGGTTATTTTAAAATTGACTGAATGGCAATATTCAAAACTCCATGACTTGGTTCTTTTGTTTTCCAATTTCAATCTTTGATATTCTTTAATTTGGATCAAAATATTTCTGTCTGATTGATTGAAATGAATTACTGCAAAGGACTATCTAAAACTGATTTCAAACTTAAATGCAAATTTTTCAAATTGTAATTTGGGTCGCATCGACAGAAAAGAAACCAGGGGTTATTTGGATTTAAAAAAAAGGGCTTTATAAATTTTCAAAAGGGGTTCATCAACTTGAAGTAAGAAGTTATATGTTTTTCTTGATCCAACTTTCGAAGAAAAGAAGGATTGTATAAGCTTGGGTTGGTTTTGTGGTACAGACCAATTTTGGCGAATCTTCATTATATTCATGATCTTTTTAGTTTGGCCAAACTTATTTTCCGAGCCCTCAAAAAATACCAAAATGACTGTTTAGACAAAATTTATTTGCCGTAGGCGAATTTTCGAGAAAAAAACAGGTTGAAATGCTAATTTTGAGCACTTTTTTGAAATTGACTGAATGGCAATATTCAAAACTCCATGCCTTGGTTCTTTTGTTTTCCAATTTCAATCTTTGATAATCTTTTATTTGGATCAAAACACTTCTGTCTGATTGTTTGAAAAGAATTACTGCAAAGGACTATCTAAAACTGAATTTCAAACATGAATGTTAATTTTTAAATTTGTAATTTTGGTCGCATCGACAAAAAAAAACGCTAAAAAAGTGTTTATTTTTTGGATTTTAAAATCAGGGCATTATTATTTTTCAAAAGGGGGGTTTAGCGATGAAAAATACTAAAAAATTGTATTTTTCCTGGAAAATTTCTGTGTTTCAGAAGCTTTTGTTAAAATTTTTCAGTCGTGTTGCGCCGCTTGAGCACAAAAGTTTGACATTTATTTATCTACAAAACTGCACAAAAGATCCAGTATATGCCTCTAAAGTATAGGGGTCAAAAGCTATGAGTTTGTACTACTAATTTTCTACTATGAATGTCTTTTTAATTGAAACAGTTTCGTGCTCTGGTCAATACATCGGATTTATGTCGCCAGGAGGATCGTTCAGCCTGTTAAATTAGATCTAAGACCGTCACCTGGGTTGAAATCATTAGTTTTCACAACCCATGTTTTGAAAAGTTTCGAGTCAGTTTCAATTTCAATTTACACAAATGTTCTAAGTTGTCTGTTGGTTCAAATCGAGGGAATTATTAACTAGTTAAAAGCTAAAACAGTCTTTGGATCCAATTTGTAAAGCTGAAACCTGAAACATCGGGGTATCTATCTTTCTACAACTTCTCAATCGATCAATACTCAAGCCTTTCTTAGCGGAATTGGTCTAAATTGCTGAACCAAATCTGGTATTTCTGAACGATTAACATTTGTTTTCAGGTTTAATTTATTTCAAACTGATCTGTTCCTTGTGGTGGTTCAATCTTCAAATTTTAACAACTGAAATTAAAAACACACTTGATTGGCATGTTCATTTTACAGTGGTCGAAATAACACTCAACTTTTAATTTTCACTCAACATTTTCAGCCGATTCTTTTTTTTGATCATGTCCATCTATCGTTTTGGATTGCAAAGTGTCAGCAATTAGAAATCAGAGCTTTTGCCACTTCAATGAACCTATTTTGTTTCCAAAATATATATGCCAAAATCTGCTAAATATATTTTCCCTTTTGGATTTTTCTCTCAGTATTTATACAAAATACTTGACTCCAATTTTGATCAATCAAATTCTCATTCATGCAGCAATGTAGCATAATATTTTTCACTTTTCAGTTTTTCTATTAAAAACCTATTCTGATTGGTTAATTTTATGATTGGATCTTTTCGTCATACTCAATTTACTACTGTCCATCGCTTTTTTACCAGACTGAATCTGCTGGTATATGAGTACATGTGAATACATTTCCCCTTATTCTTACGGACCACCACACCAATCCCTACCTTGTCAATATTCATTATTTAACTCGGACGCTGAAGTGCGTGTTTAAAGACGTCTGCAGCCGTTTTAAATGCATTTTGTAGACAGTTATCTTACGTATCCATTAACAAAGCGAGTCAACTAAAAAAATCAGCAGACATTTTTGAAGATCCAATTATTTATTTTGCATTTCCAGATCTTGGAATTAAATTTTAATTGGCGTTTTTTCGGCATGCTCCGAGACGTTTTGAAAGGTTTATGTTGACTGTTTGTTTATTTATCTGCCATTTGTGTTCCAATTTAATGGGACTTCATGACACCGAGGGTAGCAAAAACGTCTAATTCGATCAATTCTTCATTCACTTTCCAATTCAATTTTCATTTTTGCCCGCTGAGGTTTTGCCCAGCTTAGTTGATGCTCATTTTCTATCTAATTCCGCGTAAACCCGCCTGTTAATGCGCTTTCAAATCTCCTTTTAGCCATCTTCTCTGATTTTTTTGACATTTCCAGCCGAAATTCTCAAATTTCACTTCCTCTGCGAGTTTTTCCAATTTCCTCCCATATTTTCATCCCCCAGGTAGTCGTGTAGTCTTCTCAGATCGACTTGAATTTGAGCTGGCATCATAAATTGATTTCTCTGCTTGTATTTTCTGATAGAAATTTGAAATTTAGACCCCAGGCATCAAAAAGTCATCAGGGCAAGAAACGAATAGAAACACGTCTGGTTTAGTTGACCATTTAGCCCAAATAATCAAATTCAAATCAAAGTCTGCCCTCAAAATTACCCTGGCGGGCTGGAAAAAAGTAGAATGAAGAACAAGAAAGAGAACATATTTTGCATATAATTCAACTTTCAACTCTGCCATTTTTTCGCCACATAAACTTTCCCAATTGCTGAAGTGTGGAAATTTATTTCATTTAATTATTTTCAAGCGACTTGCCCCGAATTTCGAAAATTGCTCGCTTGGTATTCCAAGCCTATACCACAGGACTAGTTGGGAAATAAAAGTAACCATATTTTACGCCTAGCTGAACTTCAAAGCCACTTTTATTTTTGATCATCAAATTCAGTTGTTCAAATCAGCCTCTTTTTTGTTGATATTGATGCGAGCTGAGGACTGTGGTTTATCAATTATTCAGACCACTAGCTTCACAGTCAAACCGTGCAACAATTTTCATGGATTTCATCATTCTTGAAGTAAGAAGTTATTTGTTTTTATTGATCCGACCGAAGAAAAGAAGGCATGTATAAGCTTGGGGTGGTTTTTTCATACAGACAAATTTTGGCGAATCTTCAAAATTTGGCGAATCTTCATGATTTTTTTTAGTTCGGCCAAATTGATTTTCCGAGCCCTCGAAAAAACCACAATGACTCTGTTTAAACAAAATTTATTTGCCGTAGGCGAATTTTTGAGGAAAAAAAACAGGTTGAAATGCTATTTTTGGGCACTTTTTTGAAATTTTGGCCTAAAAATTATTCGACCCGTGCTACCTCTTCAAGAGTTGTGCATATTGGCACCAATGGCGTCCTGACAAAAACTTTGGGATCGCTCGGTCGAAAATTGATGTTGTAACACAGGGAGACCCTGTGGGTGACGAGGGTTTCAAATGCCTGAGGAGGAAAGGACGTCTGCCCCATCACCAAATGCCCCTGTTTAAAGTTCTAGGGGGTCTGATAATTGGAAATTTGGTAATGCTCTGGCCTAATTTATTCGCAATTTAAAATGTTATCTTGGATGCTGAATTTTTACCGCAATTTCACACCTTGCTAAAAATTGTTCTAAAATATTTTGAGGCAAAATGATAGCTCATTCTGATTCCGTGTACGACTCAAAGTTTACATGAACCGTTTTTTTAGCTGCTGTGGGAAAAAAAGTAAACAGTTCAAAAATATAATTTATTAAAATTTCCATACCAAAATTTTAATTTATTTATTTGAGACCGTTTACCGCGCAGTTGGATCATTCAGAGCTTTGCTCTGATATTTCAGCAGTCTTGTTGTTCCCTCTTCCGGAGAAAGTGCAAAAATTTTTTGCTTATAATTGTTGTTTATTCAGTTAAGTTTTGGCTCGCTAAAGGATTTTGAAGGAAAATTTTCAACCATCTGAACAATATGTTTTCCGGAGCTCATCTGTAAAAAAGTATAACCTCTGATCATTTTGTGCTTAATTTTGGGTGTTTGAAATTCTTTTACTAAGCCTTTTTGGAACAACTAACGCCAGATTAATTGAGTTCAAGGAACATGCATAAGCAGCAAGTTAAATATTTTTATATGGATTTGGAGCAAGTCATTTGGTTTAATAAAAAAAATTCGAGACGCTAAAAACGTCCCTATGTACTTTATGTAGCGTGTAGGGTGATTAATGGACAGTGTGTAGGGTTTATAAAATTTTAAAATAAATTTGGAAGGAAAAAACATCAGTTTTTGTTTTTATTCTAAATATTTAACCAATTTTCAGCCAACAATTTTTAAATTAGCATTGAAGTAGTCGGCACAGCCACAGTCTGACCTGATATGCGATTAGTCTTGATTTTAAAATTAGTTCCATTCTTATTTTATTTAAAAAACTATTGAATTATTAAGCTCGGTGTAATTGTCTCTTCATAGCACTTCGATTTTTAAAACATAAATTTTTGACGGTGTTCATAAATATCTGATGAAATCTTTTATCGGTTATTATTTTTGGCGAAGTTTTTTAAGATCATCAAAGAGATGTAGATGTTCTGAAAATTGAAAATTTTTTATCTGCATAGTTTTTGTAGGGTTATGCAGGTTTGAAAAAAACCAGCATGTCGAAAGTGGTTTATCATAGTTTTAGTTGCTCTAATGAAGCAGTAATCTAATCTGGCGCAAAAATCTTTTAAATTGAAGTAAACTAGCTAAATGATTGATGAAGGGCGTAAGAAAATGCTCAATTAATCAATGCTTACCTGAAATAGCATGTAGGGTGAAAGTTTTTTTCTTAAAAAATGATTTAACAGTTTTTCCTTTTAAAAAAAAAAAACATCCATTATCAGTCTTTCCTACAAAAGGTAGTTGTGAAAAACAAATGTTTAAGTGCAAAACTCAAGAATTCATCGTGATAAGCAGTCTTGTTGTTTTAAATTCGGGTGTGTTTTTCCATGAACATGCAGGTACCTAAAAACACAACATAGAAGTTAACTCATTTAATCGTGCCCCAATCGTGATTTATTCAGCTAAGAACATTTTGATAAATTATCTGATTGGCTAGCAAAAACGATCTCATAAAGTATATTTTGCTTTACAAAGTACTTATGATATTAAAACGACACAACTAAAACCAAATAAATTGACGCGGTTTTTTGTAGAAAATATTTTAATAAGCTGTCAATTTTTTTCTAAGTCTCTCTTCCGACCTCTTTCTCGTGCCCTATCAGAGAACTTTTTTGAAAACTCGATAAAGGAACGTTTTCAAAAACAATTGGAAAGTTTTGTCGACCTTTTTTTAGAAGACCCTATTTTGACCAAAAATTTGAGTTTTTTCGGCGCGCGCACCCCCTCAAACTTAGTACATAAAAGAAAGTTTTCAGGGTCGGCCAGCCTTTGGAAAGTTTTTAGGGTCGGCCAGCCAAAAATGGATGTCTTACTAAAATACAAAAATTTCGGCAGGGGAGCAAATCATTGAGTGGATTTTTGCTAATAACTGGTTTTAATTTATATATATGTTCATATATAATATAAAAACTTTTTTTTTGTAATAAATTTTCCGAACAGTTTTTTCAAAAGAAAAGAGTTTATCATTTTAATGCGGAGCTAATCATATGTATGCCAACAAAGCACCTCCCATTTTTTTTCTTCACACTCCCGACGGGACCATAAATGGCTAATTGCAATTTCCATCGGCCCAATTACTATACTTCCCCAGTGTCTCCATTCATACTCTCTTTCCTGTCCTGGTTCCCTTTTCAAGTCCCCCTCCCCGCTGATTAGGAAGTTGATAACATTATCCTAAAGAGCCAACCTTTGAGGCACCGCATCCTACACGATGTTGCATACTTTCCATGTTTCGTTCGATAAACCGACAGAACAACCAACAGACGAAACTAAGAAAAGTTTGCATTATGCATTTTTAGAACTCTCAAAGTATAATTCGAACCGTATTTAAGCTATTGAATAATTTTCGTAAAGTCCCTTTTTTTTGAAAATGGAATGATAGATTTGAATTAGATCAGCTTTTCATTCGGTCAGCAGTAATTCGATCTATTGAAAACTGGGATTCTTCTCTGAAATACCTAAGCCCAAATTGAACCACCATAGCCCATTAGAGTAAATAAGTCCAGACTATTGTTGATTTTTTTCCCAGTGCCTCAAATGAGTCACCAATTTTCCTGCCCAAGTCTATCGCCAAAAAATGAAAAAAAAAAACTTCAGAATTTTTTTCTCAATATCATTCAAAATACCTGAAATTTCTCGGTCAAAATACTTAGCGCCGATATAATTTGTGTTAAAATGACTGTAAATTTGTATGTACCCTAGCCTTAATGAATTCCTGAACGGAAACCGAATCTCTTTTTACCAATAATAAAGTGGCTAGGGTTGACAGCCCCTTGTCCCAGCCAACACCAAATGTGACATAAATTAAACCAATTTTCCAATTTAATCTCAAGTGGCTTTATCTCAGTTTTAACTCTCCTCTCCCCTTCAATTTTATTCAATTTTATCTCTTTTCCTTCTGTCCTTGAAGAACTTTAATCAGTCCATTGAGTCAAAAGTGTCCATCAAATACCACTTGGCAAGTGACATTTTAGCACACTAATAGGGTTATTCAGCCATCTACAACTTCCCATGTGCTTCATAGTGAGCTTTTACGGTAAAAAAAATTACTTATAAGCGATAACTTGACTGTTCTTAGTAAACGTATTAGCAAGCAACTAAGTATGGTCCGATATTAGCATAAGTGCGTAGGTGTAACATTTGAACTGAATGATTTGACTGCTTAAAAAACACTCCCCTACTGGGTTCTGAAAGTTATGGGTCGCGTGCGTTAACAATGCCCGACGAAAAAATCTTGAACCAGGCTGAAAGCTTAACGCAATCGGCTGAAACGTTTTGCATGCTTGTTAACCCATAAATACGAGTTGTTTATCAGAAACTCAGCCGGTTTTCCGCTCAGTTCACCGACGCATACAAAAAAGGCCCACCTTCCGATTACTAGAATTGGTTTTTTGCATTAGGTTGATTTCTGTCAATTCGAAATCCATGCCAAAAAAAAATTCAATTTAGCTTTGCTTAAAGAACCCTCACTTCACTTGACTGCTTCGTCTACGGGTTAGCGCCTGCGATTGGTGCAAGACTCGGATCCTGCTTAAATATTTTTAATAACGCTATTCTCAAATAAACTATGCCTGTGGTTATTTATCGTACTAAGCAGTCGCGTGTACAAGAAAATTTTTAGTGAGTGGGAGGGCTGTTTGATTTAAAAAAAATGTCGACTTTTTTGTTTCGTTCAAATTTATTTTCTGATCTCCGCTAAATCTCTAAAAAACATATAGTTGCAGCGCAAGTTTGAAATCGGATATTTTTTTTCGATTTTTTCGATTTTTTGGAGATTAGTGCGCACACCTATTTTGCGAAAAACTCCTGCAGAGCAGGCAAAATTTTTCAAAAAGCGGGCAAAAGTTTTTTGGCGCGCATTCCCCTACTCAATTTTAACGTATATTGGCCATGACACCTATTATCAAAAAAAGGCCGCCTTGGAAAACTTAGGCAGCCAAAATTGAGTAGAAGAGTCACCCGGCTCGCTGCTGGCTTTAAGTATGAGGGTGATTTTCCACGCATATCAGATACCACAAAAAACCGTCGTACAAAATGAATATTAAATCATATCGATTCTTTCTTGTGTTTGAGTTGTGTTTCAACAACTCGAAAAAATCTAACAGTCAAGAGAAAACGTTTTTTAAACTTCGGTGTTTGAAAAGAGCAGAAATGAATATACTTTTACTAACCACAAAACCAATTCAAAAATTAGAAGTAATTTAATAGTTTTGCTCCCGCGCTGACAAAAAATGGATTACGATTGTTTTAAATCAATTATTAAGCGATAATACACAGAATAAAAACCGATTAAAAAAAAAACAATTCAATTTTTATACGTTTTTACGTAAATTTTTTTCCTCGTCTAAAAAACGAATCAAAACCGATTTAGATGAATTTCAGGACAATAAAGCCATAATTTT